TTTCAATAAATAAATAAACATTAGAAATCTTTAAAATTATCAGTATTCCTCTACTATATTATGCATGTATTATACATATAAAACTTCCTCTTGGATCAGTCTATCTATTAAAAAAACCGCTTCAAAATCCGTTGCGTAGTTTAAATATTTTATTTATTTATTCATTAAAAATAATTACATCATTATAACAGCAAATGCCAAATCAATGTTATAAACCTAGTGTGCTAACATACAAAGTTATAATAAATGTATTTAACCCTCAGTCTAGATATTTCTGAGCCGCTTCTAATATCTTTGGCAGGCTACGACTAAATATATCAATGATGTTCATAATATTATTTAATAACCGTACTGCGTCAGTTAAGGGAGCGTGCTGAAGTAGGTTTTTTTTTTTGATGGGTGAAAATGGTATGGTAACCCCGCCTGCGCTAACGGGATACGCTGGCGGAGCACCAGTGAAGGGTGATAGATGAGAATGCAAACAGGCCAGTTAGCCCATCATGATGAATTCATCTGGAATTAACCATGATAGTTTCCAGGGAGAACCGCGAGGAGGTCGACTTGGTTGGGTATATTGCTAACAATGGGATTCTCAGTCTCCATTACTCCTCCATTACATCCCTTTCCCCCCAGTTTAGTTGATGATAATGATTGACTATATTTTATTAAAATACATGCAAAGCTTGGTCGACTCGCTAGTTGTTTATATCAGCTTTGTTCCCATACTATCGTTTACTCCCGACTCTGTCCGCATGACACATATGTTCACTGACCGGAGAAAATAAACTTATGTCGTTTTCCAGTCCATGTAATCCGTATATGTTTATCAAATTTCATAGTGATTGGATTAAACCGTATAGGAGCTATGAGGTCACAAATATACTCACTGGAGGGAAGGGATTTTCAATAATGAAGTCTAACAGCTCCATTGTTAGCTATGTACCCTATCAGATCGACCTCCACGCGGTTTTAACTGGAAATCATCGTAGTTAATTCGTGTCGAATTCTTATTTATTTATTTAACTCTTTATTGCACCATAAATAAAAATATACAATGACAAGTGAATAATTCAAGTGAAATACAGTAACATAAATACAAATTGAAATATACACATAAAGGTACAAAAGGCAGTCTTATCGCCTTTAACCCTTGGGTTAAAGGACAATAGATAGAATAGATTCTTCACGTTGTTTTTTTAATAGATCATAATGGAATGGTAACCCCGCCTGCGCTAACGGTATACGCTGGCGGGGCACCAGTGAGGGATGATATGTGAGAATGAAAAGGCAGGTCAATTAGCTAATCATAACGAAATCACTTGAAATTGAGCATGCTAGTTTCCAGGGAAAACCGCGAGGAGGTCGACTTGACAGGGTTTTTTTAATGCTCGATAATGGTATGGTGAGCCCGTCTGCGATATCGGTATACACTGGTGGGGCACCAGTGATAGATGACTGATGAGGTAAAAAAGCAGGTCAGTCAGCCCATCCTGACAAATTAAACCAGAATTAGCCACTATGGTTTCCAGGAGGTTCCCCCTGGAAATCATGGTGGAAACCACGTGGAGGTTGACCTGACAGGGTATATATGGGGCTATTTGACCCCATTACTTTCAATCTTCTTGCCCCCAACTTGACAGGGTGTATTGCTAGCAATGGGGATACTTACTAAACATAGACTTATTTAGCGTAACTGTTTTAATTTGATTAACAAAATCAATTTGTATCGAAAATATAATATAAACAATGTAAATAATACACACACGTCTATACGTGCTTTAAAATAATAGCAACACCATTATTTTGCCCCATAATATTGGTAGTTAGGCGAAATTTCTGTTGGAACCCAACATCGGGCTATGTGCAAACCGTCCGGTGGGCTATAATTGCGGAATATCGACTCCGCCGTATAATTAATGGGCTTAGATAGCGCGCCGCGAAATTTGAAATATGGCTCACACAAACTGGTACGGAACCCTTTGACAATTCGGTGTCACTGCGGATATTCGAATGGGCTTGTTGTGGAGTGATATTTATTTTTATGTCAAGCGCGTAATATTTTATTTTTATACATAGAACATGTTTGATGCATTGATATAGAAAAAAAAAAAATAGATACCCAATGGGAAAGTTATTTTTAGAAGCACAATTATTTCTATTATTTTTCGACCATAATACTCATCACATAAACATAGGCTTTCCCCCTCTTTAGGGGACATTTTGATAGTATTTGCCACCTTGCCACCTTAGCAGGTAGGAACTGCAGTTTTTTTTTTTTTAATGGGTGATAATGGAATGGTAACCCCACCCGCGCTATCGGTATACACCGGCAGGGCACCAGTGAAGGATGATAGGTGAGGATAAAGCAAGTCAGTTAGCTCATCGTGACGAATTCAATAAGAATTGTTCACGATAGTTTCCAGGGGGAACCACGTGGAGATCCAGCTAATATGGTATATTGCTAACAATAGTCAATCTCCATTCCTAACAATTCCTTTCCCCCCAGGAACTGTAGTTAGGCTTTGGTGACGTTATAAGAGAGATGCTGCTGCCCATCCCTCAACCACTAAGTTCCTTTAGTCGCCTCTTACAATACCTATGGAAAAGGATGGGCTAGTCCATTCTATGCATGTGCAGACTGTACAATAATTGTAATGAATTGGACATTTTTGCTTATACTTTAAATTTTTTTCTTAAAATGACAAAAGAAGTGTCTGATTTTAATATATAATTGTTCTATATTTTCTATTGTTATTGTATATAATATTGAAACTAGTATAAGCTAGACCAGAGGGAGACTTTGTACAAAAGTCGATTGATTGGGTACCTCTGTCCAATTTGTGTTTCTACCGTGGAGCGGTTGTGTTTGCATGGCTGTGTTTCAGTTTGAAGGGTGGGATATGGCGTGAATTTACTGGGTACAGAGGAATAACACCTGAGTCCTCAGGAATGGCAACGCATGGGGGTATCATGGGCGAAATAGTATACTCTGTTATGTCCATGATACTGCTCATGTCTATAGGCGACGGTTACCACTTTCCATCAGGTGGGCCGTCAACTTGTTTGCCATTCTAAGTTGTATAAAAAAATTTCAGCCTATAAATATAAATATGTTTTTTATTTGAGGTGCCAAACAAGCATACGGCCTACCTGATGGTAAACAGTTACCGTAAACCACGAAGCCTGCAATACCTGAGGGCATTACGAGCGCGTTGCCGAAAATATGTATTTTATACTAGCTGTATCCCACAGCTCCACTCGCGTGAATATATACAGTATTCTATGTATTAAATTAGATATAACCAACCCGTATGCCAAATTTCATTCAAATCCATTCAGTAGTTTTTGCATGAAATATTAACAAACATCCATCTATCAATACATACATTTATCGTTCCATACACTCTCGTATATATTATTATTAACTTTTATATTAACTCATAAAATTATTAACTCATATATAGAGGTTTCTTCAGGGTCGGCAGCGCGCGCGTAATACCCCTGGTATTGCAGGCGTCCCTAGGTAACGGTAAACACTCACCATCAGGTGGGCCGTATGCTTGATTGCCACCTCTGTGGTATAAAAAAATATTGTATAATTAGGATTGCACTTGTAAAAAATACAGCAACTAGTTGGCAAGCGTGAGCACATCTCTAAAAGAGATCTCTTCCAGCCAACTTAACACATATAAAGTTTATATCATATAATATTTTCGTTACCACATCTATTCTTTGTGCATCCAAGGCGACGTAGTTCAACTTTAGTGTTAAACAACGCGCCAGCGGCGGCGGGACGTGTTAGACCGTTTTTGTTCTATACGTGCCAAGCGACATACGGTAACGGCATCCAATGACAAATGCCGCTAAAAAACATTTTCAGACGTGGTTTTTTTGAAAGAAAAACTTTATTACATAAAATAGAGGGAGACTTTGTACAAAACTCGTCTGCGTGGGTATCTTGTCTCACTTATGTTTCTGGCACGAAGCAGCTGTACTTGCTTAGCTACATTCAGTGCAATTGTTGAGTATCGAGGTGTAACCCCATAGTCCGGGGGAGAAGGGATTGTTAGTAATGGGGAGGTTAGTTCCCATTGCTATCAATATATCTTATCAGGTCGACCTCCACGCGGCACCCCCTGGGAACTATTGTGACTAATTTGTCGTTTAATTCGTGATTTTTGGCTAACTGACCTGCCTTTTCACTCTCACTTATCGTCCCTCACTGGTGCCCCGCCAGTCTATCTGTCTATTGGACAATTATGTTCGACAAGAGGTAATAAACTAATATACTATCATATTTAAACAAATAATATTAAAAGGAAATTAAATGTTGGAGTTCAGATAATTTTAACAACATGAAATTCAAATTTGTCATTTTTAATTTTTCATTCACATGTCGTCTGCTAACGTCTCGATTCCTATTTTCCTTTCATTTGTTTGTTAAATTTAATAAAAAAAAAAAAAACAATCAATTCAGGTACACTCAGCTGCAAATAATGTGAACTCCACCAATACAATTGTAAAACGGCATTGTTGTACCGTTTCGCTAAAATAAACATATTACTCTAGATACCGTCTATAATGGCATAAACAAATTACTTGTTCTATACAACGTCGGCATACATAAACAAAATCTTAAGTAGGTGGAAACTGCGAGTGAAGGCGGAAATCTCATAAACCACTAACAATACGGCGCACGACATATTTCCGAGCGGGGAATCCGAGCTTTTTATGTCACACACATACAACAAACATTTACGTGATACGCACAAACACAAGCGCAGTTTACGTAAATGAGTGTCTCAAACGACTCCGAGTCTATTACATTGGCCGACAAAATTCGTGGGGGAAAAGCAAAAAACTCACAGACAACAGCAATGACATTTATCTAATTACGGGATCGCGATAAGGGCGCGCGAGGGGGTGGATGCCGGGGAAATATCTGGCGGGGGGCGGGGGACGAGCACTGACACGGGATGCTGTGCCGCAGTCGACTGGAGGTGGCTGAGGGATTCGGTCACGTGACACGAGCTCTCGCTGGCGCATCGCTGCGTTCGTCAATTGTCATTCCGCTACACAAACTTTTCCGACGAATGCGGGCGCGGAGTTCCGCAACGAATTTCAAAGAAATGGAATAAAGTGTGTGTAATTATACGTTTCGAAATTTAAATGTAAATATAAAAAAAAAACTTCTGTAAAGTGACTGCCTAGTCATGGATGTAGTTACTTCTCGATAAAATATGTGAAATGATATTATGTGAAAGAGATTTCATTGGCTGTGCTATGAATATTTAGTTGTTTTCCAACATGACTGTACTTCTAGTTTTTGGACTTTTTGTTGGTAAGTAATATTTTGAATTGGATAATTTTGATTATGTTATATACTTATAATATTTATTAATAGTTGTAGCACTTTAGCTGCCCGCTAACGACATGCTTTCCAACTATATTGGATTAATTGGAAGAGATCTCTGTCAGAGATAAGTCCACCCTTGCTTACAACAATTTTAAATGTATTAACAATGTAACTTACAAGTGCAATAAAATTTATATATACTTACATTTGTAAAACGAGATTTTTTTTATGTGAAACCTCTTTAGAGAGGTTATATACTTAATTCTGATTGCAACGCGATGTTGCATGTTGCAGTCGTGTTGCAGTGTTCTCGATTCTCATTGGCATCGATCCTAAGGTGTCATTTCTCTAAAATCTAATGGTTTCGTAAAATTACTGTTTTATGGATTAACATAAATTAAATTTATGACAATTTTGATCTAAATTTATTAGATATTTATTTCATATTAGACCTTAAAATAAAAATTATTTTTAGAGAAGGAATTAGAGAAGTAACACCTCAGAATCAATATTTTTTTAAATTTTGTCTTTTTTTTATTTTGGTCCAATATTTGCATAGAGTGGGTACTTCATCATTATTCCATAGGCCTCAATTTACTTGAACCAGCGTAAGAGGCGACTAAGTAAATTTAATGGTCGAGAGATAGACAGTAGAGTCTCTCTAAAAACATCACCAAAGCCTTTACCAGTGGGAGACTTTGTACAAAAGTCGATTACTTGGGTACCTCTGTCCCATTCGTGTTTCAACCATGAAGGAGTTGTGTTTGCATAGCTGTGTTTCGGTTTGAAGGGTGGGATATGGCAGGGAATTTACTGGGTATAGAGGAATAACACCTGAGTCCTCAGGAATGTCAACGCATGGGGGGTATCATGGGCGAAACAGTATACTCTGTTATGTCCATGGTACTGCTCATGTCTATAGGCGACGGTTACCACTTTCCATCAGGTGGGCCATCTGCTTGTTTGCCTAAAAAAAAGCCTAACTGTGGTTACTTGTCCGCTTGCTAAGCGTGAAAACTACTGCCGTCTTATGGGGGTGACCTATCTTCAGCAGTATTTATTTATTTATTTATTTATTTAACACTTTATTGCACCAACATAACATGTTTTGTTAAAACAATTTTCAATACGTATAGTGAAGTACAAAAGGCGGTCTTATTGCTAAGCAATCTCTTCCAGACAACCTTTGGGTAGAAAGGATTAAAGCATAAGTAGGTAGTTGGCGCGTTAAAAAAGATAGATTTGTAAAAAATAATATCTGTGACAGCGTAGTCATATACATACATAAATAAACACATACAACCAAACATATACATATATCTACATACACATACACTTATAAATATATATACATACATATACATATATACGCATAAATACATACAAATATACCATATTAATACACATATATATAACACACATAAAACTGGAAATACGTAGGACTAAGTGATTATAAGGATAGGTAGTGGGCTTTAACTAAGTTTTTAAAAATGGGCAACGATTGAGCGCACCGTATAGAGGTAGGGAGTGAGTTCCACAAACGAACTGCTTGCACGGAAAAGGATTTGGAGTAGAAAGAGGAAGAATGGGTAGGAATTATGAGTTGGAGGTTGTCAGTACTACGTAAAGAATAAGAATTAGAATTGCTCTCTCCAAGAAACATAAAACGTTCTTTTAAATAATGAGGTGTAACTGGATTAAAGAGAATTGAGTAAAGAAGGGAAAGGATGTGCCAGTTACGACGAAGACGAATAGAGAGCCACTTGAGCCGTGTACGATATTGGGATACATGGTCATATTTGCGAAGTCCAAATATGAACCGTATACATAAATTTTGAAGACGCTCAAGTTTATTTAACTGCTCTTCAGTGACATTTGAATAACAGGAATCGGCGTAGTCAAGGATGGGGAGGAGCAATGTATGAGCAAGCGCAATTTTGGTATCCATAGGAAGAACCTTACGCAACCTGTAAAGGGATCCAGTTGCCGCAAACATCTTCCTGCTAATCTCAGCAATCTGAGGTGACCAGGATAAAGTACTATCAAAACAAATGCCGAGATTTTTGACGCAGTAGTAGTAGCACAGTAGGCAGTTAACAGCTGACACGATACGATACTTGTGGAGCCAGGGATAATTTTTGTTTACACTTTACTCTATCGTCCCTTTTTATTATACATTTATACCATTGAAATTTTTCTTTATGCACCTTAGAATGACAAACAACCTGACGGCCCACTTGATGGAAAGTGGTAACCGTCGCCTATAGATATAAGCAGCACCATGGACATGCGTTGCCATTCCTGAAGACTCAGATGTTATTCCTCTGTACCCTGTAAATTCACTGCCATATCCCACCCTTCAAACCGAAACACAGCTATGTAAACAGAACTACTTCGCGGTAGAAACACGAATGTGATAGAGGTGGTCACGCAAACGAGTTTTGTACAAAGTTTCCCTCTGGTAAATCTACCCTCTGAAGTGCACCACGTCCTTACGTCGTAAATTTCAACAAGGTTATTCAAAGTCATTGCATATAAAACTATAGTTTCTAATGCGAACTGCTAAGGAATGGAATGCTCTTTCACTTCTGTGTTCCGAAATATACATTTAGAAAATCTCAGATTATGGCTAACCTGATAGTTTTTGTGAATAGCTAAATCAAATAGGATACGATGAATCCTAAATACATTTTGAGATGAAAAATGTTTACAATAACTTTCTTTTATACTTAATATATATATATATATATATATATATATATATATATATATATATATATATATATATATATATATTATTTAATACATAAAGAATCCTTGATTTTTTATTTTGTAAATAGTCATTTGACAAATATAGACATACAGTAAGTAAAAGAAAAACTAGAGATAGATTTGAACTATAAATTCGAGAATGTTCATAAAAATTAATGAACTATATTTGGATATATGTTACTCAGTCACACTTAAACGGCTGTACCTACGGATCTAGCTGTAAATTGGTTACGTATACCATCTTTCATATTTATATTATTTTCCAAATTTGGTATCCATGTTTACATCTGTGTATGTTATATTTTAGTTTAATACATATAAAAGAACACTATTTCAAAGTAATTTATGTTGTAAATTTTAATATTACTTTATTATTTAATTGTCCTTGTAACTTTCATAATTATGAGAATATTGTTTAATTGGCCATCCATTACAGTTTCATGCAAGCGCAAGTAAATTGCTGTTGTATTTATTTAAAGATTTACATTATATTGTAACAGTATACAAATAATATTTTACATACTTTAATAGTATACAATTCTATGGAATATTTTTTTATTATGCAACTTAGAATGGCAAACAAGCTGACGGCCCAACTGATGGAAAGTAGTAACCGTCGCCTATAGACATGAGTAGTACCATGGACATAACAGAGTATACCGTTTCGCCCATGATACTCTCCATGCGTTGTCATTCCTGAGGACTCAGGTGTTATTTCTCTGTACCCTGTAAATTTACTGCCAATAAAATGCAGGAATATTATTATGGGGTAAAGCGACCGTCATCCAAAGCATATTTGGATTACAAAAACTTGTTATTTGCGCAATTTGTTCTATGAGAAGTCGTGAATCATTAAGAGAAAAATTTCAAGAAGCAAACATTCCCACTGTAACTTCACAGTACATATACGCAAACATTTTGTATTATATATACGCGGGAATCTTTAACTGTTTCTTAAAAACAGCGATCTGAATAATCATAACACTAGATACAAATACAAACTTGCTGTTCCAAAGTATTGTTTAGAAAAAGTTAATAGGTCTTTTATGGGAATGGACATTAAATGGTGCAATAAGATACCGAAGGATATTTTGGATCTATCTTTTGATAAATTTAAAACTGTTATTAAAAACACTTATTGAACAAAGCCTTACACACTAAACGATTACTTGAATGACAACCGTGCATAATGTTAGTCGATCATACACAGGGTTTTTTTTTTTATGGGTGAAAATGGAATGGTAACCCCACATGCGCTAACGGGATACGCTAGCGGAGTACCAGTGAAGAGTGATTGATGAGAATGAAAACAGGCCAGTTAGCCCATCATGATGAATTCTTCAGGAATTAACCATGATAGTTTCCAGGGGGAACCGCGAGGAGGTCGACCTGGTTGGGTATGTTGCTAGCAATGGGATTCTTAGTCTCCATTACTAACAATCCCTTTCCACCCTCATACACAGGGTTAAACTAGGGGAATGTAATTTTAGACATGGTACATTTATACAAATATATGCAAACTTATTAATTCATATTTAAAAGAGTTACTGTCGAGTTACTTGCGGACTCATCTCAATTGATAACTACTTCCCGACTCATAAAACGAATGACCATTTGAAAGCGCTTATCAACAAATATATTGGAATAAAGAAATTTTGAATTTTACTGATCGGGACAAAAGTAGCCTATTTCATTTTACATCCCATTTAGTACTTGCATATTAAATTTTATAGTCATTGGTTAAGCTGTTAAGGCGCTATAAGGTAACAAACAAACTTTTACATTATTATTAAGGATAGAATAAAAAAAAGTACATAGAAAGGCAAAGAAATTAAATAATTAACGACTGGAAGTGATGACGGGAGACAATAAAAAGAAAAGTCGTTACTCTCAAAAAGTCTCGTGTACGGTTAAAGAAATAAAAGTAGCATGTAATTTAACTGTGTACGAGTATATACATTTATACATATATAATTGTATATATGTATATACATTTATATGCTATGCTATTCTTTAAAATCAAAACATCATTTTTAGATAGATAGATACTCTTCATTGTTTCCTCCAAAAGATTACAATAGTAAACTTATTATAAATATAAACAATTACAAGAAATAATCACAATGAGAAAACAATGGGCGACCTTATCGCTAAGAGCGATCTCTTCCAGGCAACCTTTGGATAGAGAGGAGTAATTATAAACAATTTGGTGA